ACTCACAAAAGCTGCTGCCTTTGGCTGCACAGCCAAAAAAACAAAAAAACAAAAACAAAACAGAAAAAAAAAAAAAAAATCAACCAACTAATGCTCAGGTGTCTTCAATTCATTATAGAGACATCAATATCCTGACAAATATGTGTCTTTGGGCAAAGTCACTTCATGCTTTTCACATCAGGATGATGATAGCAATTGACCTAGAGTAATTCTGAAAGGAGCAAACATTGTGAAAAGAGGATAAGGAAAAAAGACTCCATCTGCTTTTGAGTATGAGCCAAACCTTCCAATACCAATACGGCATAATTAGGAAAACAAAAAACATGAGATTTGGATCTTCAGAGAAGAATTGATAACTAGCAGGACCTCCTAAAATTCAAGTGAAAAGAAAGAAAAAGAATAGAATTATGATGAATTCAGAAAAACTCTGATACAAAAACTCAAAAGAAGCATGGTTAAAATCAGAGTTTGTAAATATATTAGCAGCAAGATGTTCCTTGAAAGTATTTTTTGAAGTGTAGAATTGTGGGAGAGGTCCTCAGCTGAATTCAGCAGCACAAACAAAGAYCATAGCAGCTAAAATCCTCACCTCTGTATGCATAAAAAGCAATTTGTAAATAGGGCAATCATCATTATAATTAAGTTCAGGCCACAGTAATTAGACCTGGACTTTAATCATGCCAGTCMTTAGGGAGCTTTGGATTAGGCCCATCTCTAGGAAACACATGAAAGATAGAGGTGGAGGAGGAATAAATGGCTGAACTACAACCACCCAGAAGTGACCTTTAAGATACTATATGGTATATTAAATACAAGAAGTAAAAGCATAAGGAAAGAWCATGCAACTAAACATCATAAAGGGTTTAAAAGAACTGTCAATAGCAAAACCTGGGAATTTATGCACACATTAAGCACTGGTGAAATTTCCTGTCTTGACGTGATTTTATTTTAAATTATCTGAAACAGTGAAATAGTTGAATTACTTTTCCTGTCTCACCTGCAAGATTTCTCAAACAGAGTTGTTATTTTCTGTTGGTTTATTTTTTACTTGTTTTTTGTTGTTGTTTTTTGGTTTTTTTTTTGTTGTTGTTGTTTGCTTTTTGTTAGCCACACTTGCTGCAAAACATGTAAAATAACAACTTCTCAATGCACTGGTTATTAATGCAATATGCCTACTTCATAAAATATCTGCAAAACAAAGTGCCCTATTACAAGAGTAACAACTGTCTCAGCTTGTATATGAAAAAAAGGATGCGTTAGCACAGCATACAAACCTTCAAAGATCTACCGAGTATTTGTAACAACRCGATATAAAAACATGATTTAAACATAAAAATAATCATAGTATATAAGACAATCTTCCAGTGGTAGTTATCGGACATTACTCTTCACACACACCGTACCCATGCACACAGATACACAAACGTACGCTCACTCTCTTGYCTGGAGGCTCCGTAACCCCCAGTGTGGAATTGCCTTATTTCCAGATTAACAGTTKTTGCTCTAAGTAAACAGCTATTTCTCAATGCATTTGATTCCAAAGTAACACAAAGGAATGATGCAATGACATGGCAAAATACGTTGTTTTATGAAAAGATAGTCAATAAATATTGTTCTGCTACAGGAAACGTTGTGTAACAGTTTAGCCACATGGTTTGCAACCTTATACAAAAGGGCAGTTTTCCTAAGTCCTTATCATATTACAAGTACTATGGCAAGGCTTTCTTCAGAAACCTCTTGAGTCTTAACTTGATCATATTTCTCGCTCTGTTCACAATCAGCATTAAAAGAAGCCCAAATCCCCAAAAAGCAGCCTAGTATGAAGAAAAAATCGTTCAGATAGGAGTCAGTAAGAGCCATGTGCTTTCACATTATCTCATCTCCTGTCCCCCAAACAATGTTCCACAGTTATGCCACCTGTAGAAACCAGGAAAAAATATTTATGCCTATACGTCTCATTTACAAGTAGCTTTGTTCCCCTTCAGACACTCCACCCTTCCAGCTCCTGGGTGTGTTGCTCCCATAGCAGACAGACAGCAGTCATGAGGTGTGCTAATGACTTCTCCAGGTCACACTTCCCAGAGTCCTTTTCAAGCATTGCCAAGAGAGGGTGTGACTAAGTCTGATTATACTTTTTTCCTGCATGTTTTTTTTTTTTTTTTTTTTTTTTTTTTTTTTTTTTTTTTTTTTTTTTTTTTTTTTTTTTTTTTGCTATAGAGGTTGTCTTTTTAGTTTGTGCTTTGTTACAGTTTCCTAACATTTTCCCAAAGTACAATATTTTTAATTTTAGCAGTTAGAGAATCTTGAGCCCTCAGAATGGATTTTAAATTTTCTTTTTGTTTCATTTTATTTTATTTAAGTGCAGGATGAAATTTTTGCCCTATCATTTGTCACTTTGTTCTCTGGTCTCTCTCCCCACAGCCGTGGGAGACTTGTCTCCCCAAGTCCTCGCAGYGGGCAACTGACAAAGTCCTTCCCACCTCGTCTCTTGCAGCATCTAGAGGGTGGACGAGCTTTGTTTATAATCCCTCAGGATGACAGAGGCGTAGGTCACATCTGGGGGTGTGCAGAGCACCGACTCTGAGACAGGGGAGCTGGGCACGGAGCTGCCTGAAGCTACTGAATCCCGGAATGGGGACGGGGGCGTCAGCGCYGGAGAGTCTTCTAGAGTCAGTTTGCTCGTTGCCGGCTCCTCGTCCTCCTCGTCCTCTGTGCTCTTTTCATACACATATCCCTGAATGAGCCTCACCTTCTCGCTCTCTGCTTCCTCGGCCGGGGGAGACAGRGGCTCCTCGCTGAAGGCAGCCACCTGGAAGGGCTGCAGGGGCGGCTGCTGCGGTGGCGGGGGTGGGAAGGGAGTCTGCACGCCATTCCCTGAGCCAGGAGCGGGGACCACAGCAYTGAAGTCGGGGGCGCCGGTGGCAAACTTGTTGGCCACTCCTTGCAGTTGGTCCATGAGRGACTGTGGCTGCAGGGGCAGTGTCTTGGGGGACTGCTCAGGCAAGAAGAGTTGGGTTTCCTCCGCCGTGGCCTGCAGAGGGGGTGTCGCTGTCACCCGCCTGTGCACCACCATGGGAGGACTGCTGGACTGGTTGAGGCGAACGGGCTCCCTACCTTCTTCCTCCACCACATTGTACAGAGTCTTACTGCTGATGTCGGTAAAAGTCAGACTTTGGCCGTGGTAGTCTTTAGTGAGGGGTTTGATCACCGCTGTCTGATTGCACCCTGTCTCCTGGTTCTTCACATGCACTGAGAGTCTGTGCCATGTATGTTCCCCTTTTGGATCTTGTCTTCCACCTGGTTCAGACCATGACACAGACTTTCCATTAGAACTATGAATAAAATAAAGATGGGTTTATTTGCATTTACATTACGAAGACAYAGGCAGTATAACAAATAAATAGCACAAAAATACTGATTGCTTTGCCTCATTTGTGAGCCTCCCCCCTCCAGTTTTTCATGTGCTCCCAGAAATATTACATAAGAAAACAACAGTGTCTTTCAACAGCAGCAATTACTGTGATTTTCATCCAAAAGTGAGTACTTCCTGTTGGTTTTCCATCCTACAGCCAACCTGGATAGGTTAGCCTCTGGGAAGGGCTCGGAGAGGGCCATCTGTGGTTTGAGGACTTGAACTGTCAGTTTATATCTAGTTTTGCTCACCATTTTGCAGAAAGGAAGAAAAAAAACAGGAAAAAAGTCACAGGAAAAGCTTTAATTAAGCCTGATTTATAGGAAATATTTTCAAGCTGTTGGAAGAAAAACAACCCACAGTCACAGCCTTTGGCAAACTGGGTAGAGACAGAAATTGTTGCTAACCCCTCCTTTCCCTTTTATTCTCTCTCCCCTTTTTGCATTTAGAAACAGATTAGCTATCAGAGAAATGAAGGTCTCCTGGGGCCTCTATCAGGTAGGAGGCAAATGCCCTTCTTGCCGGGTGACTGGTATTTACAAACCAGGTTAAAATGCTGGGGCTGAAAACAGCTGGTTTGTGTGGGAGGAGGAACAAGCAGCGGCATGACCATGGTGAGTCAAACCCTCCAACTCCTCACAAGGGCTGGGTCCATCAAGATGCTGGGCAGCTTGGCTGAGTGAGATCTGAGGGTCAGGTGTGCCACAGAGGAACTGTCGGTTTCTGCATTTCCCTGTACCCTCGAAGGGAGTAGCACTCAGAGATGAGTAGCAGCATGTGAGCAGGGACTAAGTGGTGCTTTAGAGGACCAAGCAACTGTTTAATTGCTTGGACAGGCAGTAGAGATGRCTCACAAGTTATGAAATACATCACCTGGGTGGAAACCAGAGACGGAGAGAAATTCTGAGATGATTTATTTGAAGCAACCTTATCTTGGTGTTTCATCCCTCAGGGATCAGAGGCAAACAAAGGATTACATTTGAGACCCTGTGACTGTGGTGCAGATGGGAGACAAAGCGAGTGGGAGGCTGGCACAGCAGCCTCATCTCCTGCTACTGCACACACCGGGGGAGATCGCTTCCCTTACGGTATTGCAGTATTGTTCTGAGCATTTTGCTTTCGTTGCTCAGACTCTTGTGGTTCTCTTTKTTAAGGAGTAAATAATTGTCACTTGAATTTTATTTAAAAAAACCATATTGATTGACTTGCTCATAGCTGAAAGAGACTAGTACAACACAGATAGTGTTGTAAAACTGTCAAAACAGAAAAGGAATGTACATGACAATGTGTCACTTTTCTGCTGAGCAGTAAGTACTCTTGGAGAGAAAAAAAAAAAAAAGAATTTTAGATGAATCCAAGCTGGGAAGCTCATCTCCAACTCCAGACACCAAGTGCTGGACCCGTGACTCACCACCTCTGTGGGAACTGGGCACATGAAAGGGCCAATTAAAAAAATTCATAACTCCCCAAAGCATGTAGTTGGTAGGACCTGTWGCTGTTTGGAGTTAGAGCTTTAACCTTGAGAATAAAAAAGCCAAGTTCCCAGCTGAAGRCAGAAACCTTTATGTTATGGTGATCAATGAAAAGATAAGAATGAAGGTTTAGAAGCACTCCTGTTTTGATCAAAGTGAGCTGTGGTATGACTTTGGTTTAAGGTTTTTTGTTTTGTTTTGTTTTTGTTGTTGTTGTTGTTTATTTTAWGTTCTATAGAGATAAGCAAATGAATGTAACTCTTGGGTGTGAAAGGTTTTTAAAGCAATGTTTTAACATGCCAGCTTCACACAGAAACACATTTGGTCTACTTTAACTTCAAAACAAGTCTTTTCCTGTAGAGAGGAAAATAAATCAGGTGCTTTCATATTATATTTTGCTGATGCTGTTGCTTACAAATACTGCAAGGGGCTTTTCTAAAAAAATATTATGATTATTTGCTGGCTTTTATGCTAAGTCCACTTCTGCATCATTTATTTCTTCAAATCTAGTTCTGGTGCATCATCTCACTTTTCAATCCCCCCTCACACCATCTGTTTAGTCTCTATCTCATTTTATTTCCAAGATTTTGTATTTTACATCAAATGCAAGTGTAGTTATTTTAAGGAACTCACTACCTCTGTCTTCAAGTCTTGCTCCTATTTAGTTTATTTCCCTCTCCCTCACTCTGAAGTTCTGCTTTTCTCACTTTCTTCTGTAGCACTCTCCATAGACCCAAATCAATCGTCATGCTGAAACTCTGCTGGGACTGCAACACCCAAATGTGAGCAAACCACTTCATTAGGATTTATCTGGCACCAGCTTCTTCTTCGGGGAGACCTGGTGCTGCTGACACACCTTGCTTCTACTTGCCAGACCTCACTGCTCATGGCTCCAATGGCCTCATGACAAAGAGGTTTAGAGCTGCAGTGCCTCTCTGTGGGATCTATTTGACAGTTTCCATTGATTATTTGCCTCAGATTATTGTTCCAGCTCTTTCCTTCTATTTGCTCTCCTTGCTATGTCCATGYACTGTTAACCTGTTTACGACTCACATTGTGAGATGGAGTCCCAAGACTGTCATAGAACCACATGGGCTCTGTCTTGCTGGTGGCTGGCAGGAGGTCACACCGAGATTGACACATTCAGGCAGAATTCATAATTAATGTGCAAGATAAACACTTGTTATGCTGGAAAAAAGAGGAGCCATCTCGAATACCATCTTGAATTAATTGATTTTTTGACAAAAAACAAAGATGGGATTGCAAAAACTCAGAYCTGAACTGAGTCTCAGTGAGAGAAGGAGTTGTCTTACTTATGCAAAGCAACAATGACAATCCTGACTATGTCATCACCATTCGCTAAGTGATTGTCATTGCCTCTTTTGAAGGAATTTTCCATTGGAGAAGGAGATCAAAATAATCTGCCTGGCATAATGGGAGAAGGGATGGTTTTCCACACAAAGGCAAGAGATGGCACAAAGACAGATCACAGCTGGGATATTGGAAACCTGCTGTTCAACTGCACRGTGATATGATGGCACTAAATGGTGGTTTCTTCATTTTATCAATAGGATGATTACCCAGTTCATGTCCACCATGTATTTATGTCTTTCCTAACTCTGTGCTTTCTTCAGTTAATTTCTTATAGGATTTAGTCTTCACATTTCTGCATAGAAGTGAACTGCTTGGAGTCTCAAGGGATCTTAAGGTTTGTGCTTGTGTACACCCAGTGAAACACTCTATGTACTATTTCTTCAAATCCTTCCATCCAGTCTGCATGTTCAGACAGATTCCTGGGTATCCTATCAGCAGATATCATGGGTTTACTTTTGCTTATAGACAAGAACATACATTGAATTTAGCTACTTTTTCTCAATTTTCAGCACAGTTGTATTTATGGTTTTTGTATTTTGGGAGAAATAGAAGTAAATATATTTTTTTGTATGAGTTTTTGTTAATTTCATGAGCAGAGTTGTTACTATTTTTGGTAATTSAAAGGTTTGTTTTTAATACATGAATTGATCTTTATAATATTCTCCCTGCATGACTCTGGGACAGCCATTTTGAGGCACATTCAGCTTTTTATTATAGACACTAAACAAGATGGAAAACAACTTCAGATTGTAACAGTTATTTGCTGAAAGTCTTTAAAAGAACTGATGCACCCAAGTCTGAGACYGTGATTCAAAATACATCTGCCTAGCTGTAGGACATGCTTATAATTTGTTAGATGGCCCACTGTTCATTGTTAAGTATCTACAGATGCTCAAAATCTGGCCCCTCCTTGTGACCAGGAGCTCCCCAGACTCAAATCCAGTTTCAGGCCAAGAACAGAGTCCTGCTGTTGCCAGTTCCTGGAGGATCTGACCTTGATGGCTTCCTTGGAGCAGCATCAAGGCTGAGACCCCACCACAGTTGGTACTTCTCCATGCTGCAGGATTCTGAAGATGCCTTACTTTAGATATTGGATAGCAGAGGTGTCTTTAGATCTTAAGCTGAATGCTTTTGAGGTAAAAAGTTATTATCGTACTGGTCTAAGGTAAGTTAGTCTGTGCAACTCTCTGATCCTTTCACCAGTGAAGTTACAACCTGAGATCCAGAGTATAGAGAATTAAATCACCTTTGAATCCTGTGTGACTCACTTTTTTTTCCCCCTTGAACATTTTACATGTRACAATCCATAATAGATCTCACATGAAATAGTTAAGCAAAATTATGTGTGTTCTGATGAGGTTGTCCTGGTTTTACTCGGTCCGATTTTTGGTGGTGGGGGTATGGGACCAAGAAACCACAAAGATGGCTCCTGTGAGGAAGTTCTAGAAGCTTTCTCCTTCTTTTCCAGCAAAAGGAGTCCTACCCCCTGTGTTTTAGAGCCAATCCATCATGGCTCTGAGGTTGATGGACAGGCTGCTGGTCAGGCCTGGGCCAATTGCACAGGCTAGGTACACCTCTGTGATGATGTATGGTCTTGTACTTAAGAAGAATTCAACACAAGATAGAGTGCGGCTGCTATGTAGTTTTTTAGGCTGTTAGTATTTAGTTTTAGTATTATGCACTGGGGAAAGACAGAGCAGGAGGGTGAGGAGATGTAAGAAAAAAAATGGAGACTCAAGGTCACAGTAAGAAGAAGACAGGTGCTGTGCTGTTGCTGTGGKGCTCGAACATGGAGAAAACAAGCTGCTCTCGAAAGGACTATTACTTCAATGGGAGACCTGTATAGAAAAGAGAGCAACCTTGCTCTGAGAAAAACCTGGCCTTTGAGGACTGGACTGATCAGAAGCAAAGAAGGGGGAAGAGGCCTGGCTCCCCCTCACATCTGAAGCGAATTGATGCTAAGAAGAAATTTTTTTTCTGTGGCGGGGGGGAAGAGGTGCCCCTGCTCCATGTCTGAAGCGAGTGGATGCTTAGAAGAAGCTGCATTCTGCCAGGAGATTTGTGATAGTGGCCT